AATATAAAATGGGCTAGCGCCCAGGTGCCGCCGACCCCCCTAATTGGAGGGGGGGTACTGGCAATCAACCTGGGGAGTATGATGTAGCACATGATCCCACATATATATATACCTGCATATCCATAAACCCACTTTTTTGTGGCCAAACGGTTTTGGCTAATTTTTGTGACCGTTTCGGATGTGGTCATTTTTTGGGGTCATAGATGGTCATAGTCATAGGATATTCCATTGTGGATTTTTTGGGGTCATAGATGGTCATAGGATATTCCATAGTGGGTTTAAGGAGATGCAGGAATGCATGCAACAAATGCAGAGAAATCACTCAAGTGCGGCCACTTCCGCGGCCATTTCCTTTTTTAAAGCACTGCCCCATGTGCTAGATCCCACACTTCAGCTTGGACCTCAGCGGTCTGAACTTGCCTGGCGTTTTTTGGAAATAGGTTTAAAAGCAGCTGCATACCCTTTGGATTCACAGCTCTTGGCCCAGATTCGCCTAGCACGCGTAAGATACCTCTGGAGTGTGCGTAGGCTATTAGTTACGGGTGAAACTCTTCGAGACAAGCGCGCGCACTGCCCTACAAAGTCCTCATTCATCTGGACCGTGTCAACAAGCGGTGATAAAACCCATTTGTTTTTGGCCGCTAAGGCCAGCAGTTTCCTCGCTGAATGGTCAAACATGTGAAGTTTCACAACCATAGGGAAGCGCAATCGGCGATCATTGTAGCAAATGTGCCCCTATTCCTTTCCCCGGGGAAGCAAGCAGCAAAGCGGTACAGGCGGGTAACGGCAAACGCAGGCGAACGTGGCGAGGCAGGCAGCGATACGAAACAAAGCCAGCGCGCCTCCGCCGATGTCTGGGATGCCATCGCGAAACGAAAACGCAACAGAGAACAGGAGAGCTCCCAAATGAAGGACGCAGAGCCGAAGGCAAAACATCCCAAACAAGAGAACCGAACAGAAACGAGCAAACACGGGCCTGAAGATGTACGTGGCCAACGGGAAAACAGCGACGGAAGGCAGAGGGCGGTGCAGGCGACGACTGATGTCGCGGCTGCCAGCGTGGAACGAAAAAGGAAAACAGAACAGGACACCGCCCAAATGCGGGAAGCCCCGCCGGACGCAAAGCAACGTAGAGAAGACGGCGGAACAGAAAGAAGCACAGACATGCAGGCAGAAATGAGCTGCAAGCAGCAGAGCAAGGGCAGTGCGACGGAGACGTCGGGGGAAGGCAAGAGTTTCCAATATGTTTGTCCCGCTTGCCAAAAGTCTGTGAGGAGCAGTATACGCACGGGCC